TTCAAAAATTTTGTAATTTTAAAATTTACTCATCCCTGATTCGATTCTTGTTGCTTTTCTGGCTGAACTGAAATCAAGTTGAAAATGCAATAAGCTAAAATGCAAAGCCCACATGCAAATTGAACAATGCAAAACCGAGAAGTGAGAGGCGTCAACATGGCTCGGTGGTTGGTATTCTCCACTTGGCTTACGGATTTGTAGGCTTATCAGCGGCGGACAGACGACTAGACAACAAGCCCAATGATTTATGTATGGACAGACCCTTGAGAGCATGTGTGTCCATTAAATGCATGAGGAAAGAGATTTAAATCAATATCATTAAGTTGCGAGCGTCTGGCATTTATCGCCTTTGTCTGCGCATTCGCTCCGGAAAAACGTGCGGAAAATGGCGCATCCAAAATGTATGTATTTAATAAAAAGAAATAAAAAACGACCCGGAAACTAAAATCAAGCAATATCAACAAATAATTACGACGCTATAAGAAATGCATTACATATTGCGTGTCCGATTAACGCTGAGAGCTGGGCAAATGAGATTTCCTCTTCATTTTTAGGATACCCTGTACTTAATTGAGAAAGTTGAGTTGGGATGGGGTGTATTGATTCGATTCATGTGTATGTAACTGGTATACGAATAATTATTTTATTTATTTTCGTATACTGGAGATTTTCGTATGGTTTTTCAATATTTATTCAAAACTTTTCATCTCCAAAAAATAATGTTCCAAGTTCCACTCAACTATTTGCGGGGTATTTTCTGGTCTCTTCAACATATATACTCATATATAAACAATTAGAAATTCATATTCGTTTATGCGCAATTGGGTCGTGCACACACACACGCAGAGACTTATCGTGCTCTAGGAAATGAAGATACCCTGCATTTGTTTATATATTTGGTATATGTTTATGTTTAATCTCAGAACTGAATCAGAAACAATTTCCTTCAAAACCAAAATGACTCAGTAGAACATTTGTATATATTATTTATTTTTATTTGATTATGCATTGTTTTTTCAGTATTTTTTGCTTTTACGACGTTCTTCCAGTTTCATAAGAAAATTAGCACATCATCTGATAACAGCGGAGGGGAGCTGCTGGGTTATCCAACTGGAAATGTCAGAAGCTCGCTGCGCATAAGCCACAGCCGGTTATTGTTTTTGTTATTGTCGTTCGCTTAACTTTATATAAAAAACAACAAAAACGCTTTAAAAGATCAACTGAAGACTTGGATTGGCATTTTGCCGGGATAGTTCAGAGAATTTGAATTGAATATAATGCTCGATCAACTGAAACCAGTTTAATCATTGAAATGCACATAAAATTTAAGAAATATTTTGAATAGCTACAGTAAAATATCTAAGCTTATGCTTCAAGTGCAAATTGAAGATCATTAATATGAATATATATTGCTACATAGCACATATATGTATGTCTAATCATATGTATTCGCCTGTATACAAAATTATCATAAAATAAATGATATATTCCCTATTCGGTTGAACGTCACTAAGGTATAAAAACAATCGAAATCATCTATATACCCAAAAATCTAAAAAATTTAATTTTACAGTTGGTACTCACAGTAATCCGATGAGTCGACCTGACTGTACTATAGTTACATACATATATAATTGGTATAATTCAGATAAAATTTCGCATTCTTACACAAACTTTATTCTATTCTCTATTAGACTACGCTGATTCGTACATCATATACCTGAAGGTCTTTGTTTATGTATTATTATGTATTATATACATGGCGTCTTCTGCAGACATTCCGGAGCTGCGTCAATTGCATTTGGAGCCCTGCCCGATTTCATTTTCAAGCCACGTTTTTTTTTTTTTTTTCGCTCGTTCGTTCGTTTACTTGTTTTACTTCTTGGCTCGTCTCACAAATATTTCAGCTATTTCAGTTTTGACAATGGGCCAAGCACTGACCCAGTTGGCCCCCAGCGGTGAGTCATGGCAAAGGAATTCAAATAGGATACTCAGGATGATAAACAGGAGTTATGTTTCACTACCTGCTGCCTGTTCACAGTTTTGTTTTGACAGCTAGTTAGCTGCAGTGCTCCAATTGGCTGTATGTGTTAATGGAAAGCATATACACACAGAATCCAGCTGTTAATTGCAAGAGCAATTTAATTACCAGGTAGTCTGCGTGTGTGTGTGCATTGCATGCTGTTGAGCACTGCTGCTGTGATAGCCATTTTATAGCTACAGCCATTATCATTTACAGAAACGTTTATCTGAATGATTGTGTAAATAAAGCATATTTAAAATGTACTGCCTTGAGCTCTTGAGAAAAATGGAAGGTTAGCCTTTTTTATTTCCCACAATTTTATATCAATTTAAATTGTGTACTTTTGCATTTGAGATCATTTCAGCTTTTTTGGTCAAAGATTTAGTTTCAAATCCAAAATATAGCTATAAGTTTCACTTTTCCAACTCTGGCAACACCGGTTAGAGACATGCAGCTGATTCAAAGCGCTGAATCAGCAGCAGGTTCTGAGAAGTAAACGAGTGAAAGAGAGCAGAAAGAGTGAGAAGGGGCATATCGCATGCTGTTTGTTTTTGTTTGCCTAAATATGCAAAGCGCAATCAGCGCGCGCAAAAGTCAAATTCGGATGAGCTCTGACTATGAGATAAGTTATCAAATACGACGTGTCAAGTGATTGTCTAGCTTTATGTACTCTATATACTTTATATAGCATACTTAAGATATTAAAATAACTAAGATTGTGCAAAAAGCGCGTCATTGGAGAAGCGAGAAACACGGACTCCCTAATACTCTCTGCATTCTAAATCTTGAATATGTCAAAGTCAAAAGATCATTATGAAACATAATATGATAAGGAAACCCATATACCAGTTTGGCAGGAAAATTCTAGCTACTTGACTGATACCTGACAATTGAAAACCCAAGAAAACCGCAAACAACAAATTTTTTTTGAAAATGTAATACTCAATCCTCTGCGTAGTGGCAGCGCGCCCACTTTAACAGAGGCGCGGAATTGAAATTTTAAACGACGATGAGTGCAAATGACTGTGACAAAGTCAGTGAAGGTGTGAGTCATGCTCCATTGCATTCGGGAAGGGTGTCGCGGTTGAAACGGGCGCTGAAACTGAGCTACTGGTATGGGTGGGGGAGAACTCAAGTGTCAGACAGTTTAGTTGTCAATTAACCGCAAAAGTTTTTTTGTTTTTGTTTTTCGCTTGATGTTTGCCCTTTTTTGTTTCTGGCTGCTGCTAGGTGTCAAAGTGAGCTGCGAGGCTGTAAATTGAGTTGAGCTTTGGAATAGGCTTTTTTTTTACGTAAACAAATAAGCAAACGGGATTAATTTATACCCTGTTCGGTGAGTAACACATCAGCTCATAAATTGATATTACTAATTCAGATTCACTTCAATCCCACAAACATATTGTTTTTGTTTGTATGAAAATCGCAATAAATATATTTTTAACTTGGTAATTGCCCATTGGTAAATCTTAATTTTAAATATTTTTCTAAATCATTTAAAAATCAATTTGAAGGATACCATTTTAGTCTATAGGAATTCAATTATTTTTGAATCAACTTACGTATTGAAGGTCTTTTGATAGTCCTTGATTTGCTTGCGCGAAAATTCATGGAATTCGGTGTAGACATTGACCACCTTAAAAGTGCGGGGAACCTCGATGCCAGCCTCCTGGGATTCCATGATCTCCTGTCGCCTATTCAAAATGTGCGCCAGCTCGGAGCTATCCGTAGTAGCTGTTGTTGTTGTGCTATCATCGACGCTGCCGTTGCGCGAGGCAGAGGATGCATTCGAGGAGACAGACATGTTTTTTTTTTCTTTTTTGGTTTTTAAACTGTATTACAGCGCGCTGGAATTTTGTATGATACACCACACCCTATACAAAGGCGTCGACGGCGTCGGTGGCGGGGGCGAGACGAGGATGTAAGGATACACACACTCACACACAAACACACTGACGCAGAAAAGGCGCACGCAGGTCTCTTGAGAACAATTGCAGACAAGCCTTAATTATTCACTGTTAAATTAACTGGAACTGGACAGCAGTTTATATTTTTGCGGTTTAAATAGTTTGCAATAAGACGCGCGCGCGTAAATACCGGTGCAAAGTGGATTCTGTTTTTTGTAGTTGAAGAATTTGATGTCTGTTTAAAGCGCGTCGACCGTCCAAAGCACACGAAGTCGCTGATACGAATGAAAGGCAAAGCAAGCTGAGAGACGCACCCGAGCGTTAGCTGTATTCTATTGTGAATGTTATTGCTATGTAAATAGACAGATATGGCAAGGCCAGCAACGTTAACAGCTGAATGGCAAACAGCTGGAGAGGAAGACATTCACGTGTAGCTGACAATTTATAATTTAATTTCAATTGCAGTAAATTTTCACAAGTCACTCAAACGTATTTTGTAAATTTGATCTATTAAACAAGGTATTAAAATGGGCAGTAAATTCCTTAACAAATTACTGTTAATTGCTGGCTTTGCTAGCTTGGCGCATGCCGCATTTTCAGCTGCACATCGTAAGTAAAAAAATCCTGTCAACCTTTGCTCGAATAGACGACTAAATTTTAATTTTTATATCTTACAGATCGCACCTATTTGCGGCTAACAGAGCAGGAGTGGACCAGTCTGCCTTTAGATGTACGTACAGAACTGATGAGATTTATCTCTTGACTTATGTTTATGTTATGTTATGTAGATCATTTTGCAAACGGTGATAAGCCTGGTGGTCGTTGTCTATAATATTATTCAAATCGTGGGCAACTTCAAGGAGATACGCGCCACCGTGGACATGCAGCAGAAAACTTGGGATACTCTTGGCAACTTTCCATCATTCTACACATTCAATCATCGCGGTCGCGCTTTGAGTCCGGGCTACAAGCCGCCGCGACTCAACGAACCCGATGCACAGCAATAGTTGCGCTAGCTAAATGTTCATTTGTAGCCGGTTTAAATGTCTAGTGTAATGCAATTTTTTCATAAATTATGCTAATCCAATTTAAAATGTTTATTTTAGTTGTGAGTCGCTTGGCTAACTGTGCAGATCATTCTCAGCTATTTTACCGGTTCCAAGTTTTTCACCTGCTGTTGCTGCTCAGCCTGTTCCAGTTGTATTAGTTGATCCAGCAGTTGCTCTTGTTGCTTAAGCTGGCCAGAAAAATCCGACAGCTGCAGAGTTCCGCGCAGCTGTTGTCCGGGCGTTGCATTGCAGCCATGATCCTGGCATAGACGACAGCCCGCCTGTCCACCAGCGCGCAGCATGCACTCGTAGTAGAGCTGTCCATTGGAGCGACAGCCACGCATCACCTGCTTACTAAACGGATCGTAGTATTCCAGGCACGCGGCAGACTGATCAGTCGGCTCGTTTGCTAACAGTCCGCAGGGCACTGCATCTTGTCCACGCTGCACCTGCTCACAGTTGCTGCACTGATGACACCACAGACGCTGCTCCGGATAGGCGCCCTTGTTGCAGAAGCTGCCCTCACATCTGCGGCAACTGGCGACGGCGGGACCATCACAATTGAAATCTGTGCGCTGGCAGCCACGCTCGGTGGTGCCATTGATATAGTTGATTACCAGGCAGGGTGCTGCTGGTTCTGTGCATTGCTCTATATCAATGCCGCCCGGCTTCTCCCAGTTGGCACAGCCCGCGGAATTGTCACTGCTGCAGCGATAGCAGCGCGTAAAGTCTCGGGAATTGCAAGCCTGCTGATCGCTGTTTTCATCACATTCGTAGCAGTCGAGGATTTGTGGATCAGTTGGTGGTGCACCACAGCCTCGTTTCAGCTGCCCATTGGTGTACTCGCAGGTATAGCAAGACGATGCTTCGGCCGAGCCGCAAACCTGGCTTATCAAAGCCGTGGCATTGCTGCGACAAGTCTCCTTCTCCAATGAGTTGCAGCTGAGGCAGCGCTGCTGAGGCAAGCAGCCGGCATTGCAATTGTCGCCGCTAGCACATGTCTCCAGCTGCGCGCGTTGTGATTCCAATTCCTTTGGCAGCTCGGCGGCGCAGCCACGCACCACTCGCCCCAGCTGTCTGTACGTGTAGCAGTATTGCTCCTGCTCCTGGCCAAGCAGCATTTGTTGTTCGCACTGCTCGAACTGGCTGACATTGCAGCGATTACCCAGCTGAAAGAGATCCATTTTACAGCCGCGTGCCTTGAGTGAGTCACAGGTGGCGCACCTCAACTTCCAGGCGCCCAGTGCATTATTGCAGCCATTAATCTCGCATAGCTGGGCTGTGGCAGCTGCCGTGTGATTCGTATCGGAGCTGCAGCCACGATAGGCCATTGTCGAGCTCACGATTTCCGTATAGCACTGATCCTCTTCGTGATGATAGCGGCAGGGCCGAGGCTTGCCTGCTGGTGCCCCAACACAGCTCTCGCCTGCACAGTGATGACACTTGAGTCGTCCAGGTGGATAGACGCCAGCATTGCACAGATTGCTGGAGCACCTCTTGGCATAGGTGGCCTCTGTGGTGGGCGTCTCTGCACCACAGCCACGATATGTTATCGAATCGACTGAAAAATTCAAATAGGGTACAATGTGAAAATGTATATAAGAAGGTCGCGTGGAAGACATAGTATATATGTACATATGAAGATTTGAAATTGTATTCCATTTGCAGTACAATTAACTTGTTTTCGATAACTTATTCCATTTATCTATCTTTAAACCGTGAGATCTTAAATTTACTGTGTAGATTTTTGTATACTTACGGCTTTGTAGCTTAATGAACTGGCTTATAGTAATGCATTACCCACCTATGGACATCGCGCAGGTCAACTCCGTGGCGCACTCCTTGTAGGGCAACACATCCACCTCTCCCAGGGTCTGGGCACATTCGGGCAGAGCGATAGAATCGCAATGATAGCACACAATTGCATTAGCTGGCTGCAGAGCGAGGCCTATGAAATATTTATGATTAACGGATTATTGGAAAAGCATTAGCTGCAACATTTACCGCACAGCCAGAGCCAAAGCCAGAGCGAAAGCCCGGACAGGTGGATCAGCAGGTGGTTAGTAGACGGTTGGCTCATTACGATATGTACTGCACCAGCCTTTGGTCAAATTGCTTCTGTACAATTGACAATTGAGATCCGTTTTATGGCTTATCACTGGGCCATAGAACAAAGGCCTTTATCAGCCTGATACAGAGATACGGATAAGCCCTATTTGTGGCTAAGAGCTTAAGAACAATGGCCATCCACATTGTGGTCGTTAAAGAGGTATTGACTATAAATATATTACGGTTTGTTTAAATCGTCTGAGAATTGCAAATAATATAATGCAATGCAGAGCATAGATAATAGGTTTGTTCGTATTAAATCCAGGGGGATTTTTAATAAAGTTAAAAGAAAATCTTATATTTATTCTATAAAAAGTTGAACGCTGTTTGGACTAAATAAAGTATTTTTGGCATACAAAATCAATCCACATTGAAATAAGTTATGATCCTAAGTAGAATTCTAATCTATTCGCGCATCTATAGGTATTGCTATATATGTATCTATTTAGTACTTTGTATCTCACAAACCAGACCCAATAAAATGTTACCTTTATACATAATAGGCAGATCGGATCGAGAATATCTTAATTGTTTGCCTTCAAATGGGGCAATGAAAATACAGTAAAACGGGCATTGAGAAAAACCAATATACTCATTTAGGATACAAAACATGTAAAACTGGGTCTCTAATCGGTATCACTTATGTATATGGTAATATCTGTTATAGCTCGACTAAATTATCATACCCAATGAGAAAATGTCATAATGTAAATATATATTTCCAATAAAATGTGTCCATATGTATAGAAATTCTTATCAGCACACGCACGATCTTACGACTAATTTGAATTCATGAGAACCACAGAGGTGGGAAATAGCTAAAAATAAAAAAAAAATTGTTTGTGGCTACGGTTTAAACATGGAGCTTGAGCGTCACGATAGGGTTCTAATTAAATTCCTGAGAGTTGCATAGTAAGGCTATGCAGGCTGATGCAGCAAGTTTTAACTAGCAGTCTGTATTAAATTTGTAATCATCACAGGGTTTTGAACGACCTATTTTTATGGTATATATGTACATATATGAATATTAATTTCACTAGCTTCTAGCTTATAATACAAATTCAATTAGTCAAATAGCCACTCATATTTATAGTGGATTATATATATATTTATATATTGTAATAGGCAATTTTGATTGGGTTGGACTTGCATATTGACCTTGCGATTCGACGCAGATGTCATAGGTCGAATGCAAAATAGACATATCATTTGGACATGTTTGGATACTATATTGTTGTGGAGCACAGGGCTTCAGCTCTGTTCAAAGTTCACATGATCAATTATTCAGGAAGAAACGGAGCGATTAAATGGGGAATGCGATAGGTTGGCTGGGAAGGTCGAGTGGTAGCTGGTTAGTTAAATGGGTCGACTGTCATGTATCGATTTAATTTAGAGTCGGATAATTGCGTGACTATCAGCGACATATGGCCAGCAATTTAATGGCCTTGCTTCAGTTGCGGCCGCGTCGGCAACGGGACTGGAATAGACGGACAAACGACAATCAAATTTAATTTGCGCATACAATTTGGCTATTGGGCTATTTGCAAAGCTCTCAGTGCATCTCATGCGAATTGGCAAACAAAATTCGATTTTGATAAGCCACTTAAACACCCGTTTGAACAATAATTTCATCATTAACCAAATTGACAATGAATGTGAAGTTTCTGTGTTGGCTGCTTCTGCTGCTGCTGCATGGGAGTCTGGCACAGGACCAGGACGAGGAGGAAGTGCACCAAGATGTGGAAATGGTTACAGGGCTACAAGTTGGCCCTACAATAGAAGTGGAGACAGAGTCAGATAAGGCGATGGAAGATAGATCCATGGAACAGCAACCAGATCCTGAATTGAATCCGAAAGCGGATAATGAAATCGAAATAAAATCCATGGAGCAGCAGGAGAAGGAAAAAGAGCCTGAGCCGGCAGCAGCTACGGACAAGCCTGAAATAGAAACTGAAACTGAAATGCAAACTGATAAAGAAACTGAGCCGGAGGCAGCAAATCCAATGGATCATACGTCCACAGAGCAAACGGAAACTGAAGCTGAAGCTGAGCCGGATAAGGAATCACACCTCGATATTCCATTTAAGCCGCCGAAACCGGCAACTGATACAGACAAGTCGAAGGAATCCCAGGAAGCTGGAAATGAAGCCGAAGCGGAAAACGAGAAAGAAAACATGTCAAAGGAACAGGATTATCAGGACGAAGGAGCAGCATTAGCCAATCCTCCATCACCGGAACAACCACTAGCCCCAGCACCCACAGAGCCCGTGAAACAAGTGAACATCCCATTGCCCGTGCTGCCCAATTCCTGCTACAGTTGCTCCAGCTATCGGAACGGAAGCTGTTTGGAGCACCCAAAAGAGCAGCTCAATTGCCAGCTCAACGGCAAACGCAGCGGCTGCTATACGCTTTACAAACGTTAGTAAATCTGAAATTATTATTATCGTATTTTATTATTTATTAAGCTTTGAATATATATGAATATATGTTTCTTAAGCTTTTCTTGGCTTAGATTTGCAATCATTGCACTTATACTGGTTAGAGTAAAGAGTATATTTTATTTTTATTGTTTACCTCTCTCTATATCTATTGATGCTAGAGTTTTGCTGCTTTAACTATATTTCTTTGTGTTTTTGATTCTGTTGACGCACTTTTCTGACCAGAAATTCTAGATCTTTTGTTACATAAAAAATATTGAGATTCGAATGAGCTATACAAGAGTGGACACTAGGAATATACCCATATATATCATATATAAGTATTTAAAAAATTTTAAATTATGTAAATAGTATTGTTACATTCTAGTTTTCATGAATTTTCGACGCTTTCTTCCAGGTGATACGCAGCTCATTATGCGCGGCTGTTCAGCAGATCTCGCGGAGGAAGGGGACAAGTACTGTCGCAAGGAAACGAAACTCTGTCAGTTTTGCAATAGTTCACTCTGCAATTCGGATCTGGCACCAAACGCTGGAGCAGCTGAGCTTTTGGCCAGCTTAACGATCTTGAGTCTATGTGTAACAGTTCTATTGGGTTAGGACTCGCCTAATTAGAGAGATAATGAAGTCGCATTGCATATGTTGTATAGGCAGAAAATAAATCTTAAGAAACTTTTCCATCTATATCAAAATTCACATGAGCAAAAATTTTAAGTTATCAATTTTTGCTCTATATATAGTATATAAGCATACAGTATCAGTAACATTTTAACAATGATTGATAACAAAAACATTTGCTATCAACAGTCTAATAAATTATGTTTTATAACTGAAATGGATTTAAAGAAATTCTGAAATATATATTTTTTCATTTATTTTAAATAATACAAATAATAATACAAATATAATGATTCTTTCCTTGTTTTATAAACTTGTTTATTAGAGTAAATTATTTATTAATTTTCAATTTGTTTATCAAATAAAACGGAAAGCAACTTTCCAAGATCTATACAAAATTTTAGAGTGTTTGTCAAGTGTTTTTCTTTTAACTTCCTAATTAGCTACTTTTTATCTAGAGGGCCTTTGGGGAGGTCTGTGAATAATGATTCATATATGACTCATAAGTAGCTCGGGCCGTACCGATTTGATTTATAAGTAGTATATATGTATATGTGTTTTTTTGTTTGTCATATAATTGGCTTTGGTTTGCTCTATTGAAATTAGATATATTTGTGCACAATGCAGATCAGCGCGAACAAGGACAGAGCCATTTGCTGCAATGTGGCGGCTACACCGTATGAAATGTTGTTGCATCCCATGCCACTGCATTCGGTGCAGCGTGAGGGGCTGTCTTTTGAGCACTGGTATTTCATCACATCACTCGCCTCGCTAAGGCAGCCGCGAATTACGACTCCATCTACAACGATAAGATAAGTAATTTATATGATTATATACATACATTATAAAAAAGTTTAAGCTAATTGGAAGTCAAATCTATTTCATTGCGAAATGAAATATTGAGATTTGTGTGTTTGAAAATGTTGATGAATATCTATAAGGCTTATGGCGATATTTTTAGATAATTCAGAATGCATTCTCCAGAGTGTATCTGAGCTTATCTACATGTCTGTCTCATGTCTTTGAGGTACTCTCGGATTCTGCGACCCTAAATCTATGATTATTTTTTTAAAGGTTTTCTCAATACCTATAAATGTGTCTCTATTTCTAATTTTAACAACGTATATTCCAAAAGTAACGATGAATGTAGTTCTAAATGTATCTTTAAGAGCATATGGTTTTAAGTATCTCCGTTACTTTAAAAGTAAGAGATGTATATTTATCTTTGTCTTTCTATATAGAAGTCTCTTAACTGCTATCTCCTTCTTTCTCTTGGTATGCTTTACATAGTATTGTATCTATTAGACATATTTTTCTCTATGCTTTCTAAATGTCTTAGTCTCTTTCTAAACGCATTTCTTATCCCCGCACTCACCCCACTCGCCACTGAAGCATTTCATCGCATCGGGTCCAGTCAAACTGGAGGCTGGACAATCTTCCTGTCCGACCTCTGCTTCACGACAGGGCGCATAGTAGTCGCTCCGACAGATCAAGCATTTGAATACGGCTACGGCCGCGTTGCAACTGTTGCCCTCGCATGCATTACAATTGTTGGATGCATTGCATCCGGCAGCTAGCTCATTGGTGCAGCCACGCGCCACGACACCATTGGGAAGCAGTTGAGTATAACAACTGTTCACGTTCTGGGTATACACGGCCGCTGCGCATTCAGTTGCCCTGCCCGCCTCCTGCTGCAGCTGGCACTTGTCGCTATCATTGCACTTGTAGCAGCTGCCCAGGACACGTGAATACGGCCTGTTGTTGCAGCCATTCTCGTTGTCGCAGAACAGGCAGCTGGCATCGGTTGAGGTGGCCGAGCATTTGTTGTCCGCCACAGTGTCCGACTGGCAGCCACGCTGCATAGTGGTCGCACTGGTGCCGATCGTATAGCACTTCTGTCCTGTCGCCTGATAGATCGCACAGCCCAGCAGCATGGTGCTGTTGTCCAAGTTGCTGCAGGACTCGCCGCTGCACTGGTAGCACAGGCGACGATCATCCGGAAAGATGCCCACATTGCAGTTATCCGTTGCGCAGGACTTGCAGTTGGCATCATTCGCAGCACAGTTCAAACAGCCACGCACCACTGTACCATTCGACTGCAACTGTGTTGCGCACTGCTGTGTGGCCGACCCGCATATCATATTAGATGCGTTCGCGCCAGTCGTCCTGCCGCAATCCGGTTGGGAGGCATCGCACTGCTTGCACATCAGTGCCGCATTGCAGTTGTCCGTGTTGCACTTCAAACAGTTGGGCGCGGCACAGGCGGGGTCCGTTGTACAGCCACGCGTCACAGAACCATTATCTGTAAAAAGCAAGCAAGCGTTGAGTGGCTGTCAGTGATCTTTCTTTAGGAGTATATATACTTGAGATATACGAAATGCCTATCACTTACACTTTCGTCAGTATCATTTCAAGTTTTGTAAAGAATTCCATATATAGGGATACCATAAGTACATACATATAGCCCAAAGTCGTGATAAACATTTTAGTTTTATACCAAAATGTCTATGCAGTGTTAAAATTGAAAATTTATATTCTTAACTCTAACCTTCATTTAAAATATTGATAAAAACTATTCGACGTATGAGCGCTCTGCTAGAATTCCAGGAAGAATCCTTCTCTTATCTCTTTATAGTGAGATCATAGGGAGCTACAGAGCTACGAATTCATGTAGGAATGATCTTTAAAAGTATAAATAAATACTCTGTAGATACTAAATAAACAGTCTCGCAATTTTTGTTCCATACCAAATTTGTAAAACATTTCACACAGTGTTCTTCAATGAATGCACTCTAAAGTCAATTATGTTTTAAACAAGCGGCTTAATGATCAATCATGAATTGTGAACACACTCATCGTTGTAGGCGCAAAAATGTATATGAAAATACATTTCTTATCGCTTGTCCACCTGGCTGCAGATAAGTGCTCCGAGTAAGCTGTGTCCAATAAAGAACTTTGGTAAGCCAACTATTAACTTATCTGTAACCATATACAGCTGTGTGTTCGCCAATCCCAATTGTGGATGATTCATGGGTCCCAACGAGTGTATCTCACCTGTTTTCACAAAACATTCGGCTTGAGCATCTGTACAGGTTTGGGATGTGCCTGCACCCGTGCTGCATGCTGTAAAAAACAATCAAAATATTTATATATACATATATATTTAAGATTGATCGATTGATCCATATATTTACAAGTTGATATAGTGATATACCATACAATAACTTACTCAGCGCCGCTACATTTTTATAATGGGTGATTGTGATAAGCGCAGCAATCAGAATGCTCAGTTTATGGGTTTGCATTTTGTAATTGAATTTGCTCTTCACTTCTGGGTCAGTTTTTGGCTTTGTTCTGGGCTCTATGTAACCTCGATGTAAACCGTTTGCCACGACTGTTGCTCGCTAACTGGTCGTCTTTTGCAACAGGTAGCCGTAGGCCGTTAGCCGTTTCCATTCACTTCGATCCATTTCAGTTCTAATTCCATTTCAACACATACTCCAAATTATTGTTATCTTTCGACTTTTGTATTTTTTTTCAGCCAATTCTTTTGCTGATAACGGCAAATGGGGCGAGATAACATAGACATATATTATATATACATACATACGCATTTATCTATACAAATATATGTATATATGGTAAGTATCAATAAATGCAGCTTGAGCTTTTTTTCGCACAACTACGCAAACGCAGCAAAGCTCTAAAGCTTTTAACTTTCGTTTGGGTTGGAATTTAAGCTAAAGCACTTGCAGTTGTGCTTATTTCGGACTTGCGCATTGGAGCTTTATGAGGACCATAGAGCTTTAAGCACTAAGGAAATTATGTTGCAAACAAAAGACAATTTGGGACTAGCTGAATGCTAGGGAGCTTTTGTAATAATTTTAAACAATTTAAATAATACTACAAATAAAGACATTATTTAGACATTATATATATATATATATATATATATATATTAAATCAACTTATATATAATAAATCAACTTTTATACAGAAAGAAATAATTGGAAACTTTTTATAAAATTAATAAAAATTTAAAAGTTAAAAAAAAAAAAAATGTTTTCAAATATATAGTTAGTAATTTAGTTATCATTTACTTGATTATATGTATCTTATGATACATATACATACATAAATTAATCGTTAAATGAGTGTAGTAAATTGGATGTAAATTAAAATATCGATCGGATTAAGTCTACAGAGACAAATTGTCTAATCTTTAATTTATAGACTTTTTGCTCTGCGAAGCGTACTCGTATAATTTACAATTTAGATTGTATCGCTAACTCGTTAATGATGGAAAATTAGAGTATAAATTTAGTTGAATCACCTAATAGCTGAAATAGACATCATAAAAATCAAGGCTGCACCTTGAATAGCCCAATAGAAAAGTTTGAAATGTCAGTACTTGATTTTGCGATAAGAGCTGCATTGAAGAGTACCGGCCTATATAGTCACAGACATATATCTTTTTACATCTATATAAATATATATGTATATATAATATACTTATATATGACGCAGATGCCCCATATAGATATACATGCAGAAAATATGATCGTATTTGTGCAGAAATAGTCTTATTTATAATCCCCACAATTGCGAAATGATGACATTGATTAGATAAAGTTTCCTGGAAACGCACCTTTCTAAGGGATCTCATTGTATGCTGGTCGTAAATATTGATTCTCATTTATTGACTAAAAGTCTTGTGATTTTTTCCTACGTCAACCATATTTGATTTTTGCTGTACATATAAAGCTCTAAGAATCCTTAATAAATACTACAGATAAAACTAATATCGTCTGGGCATTTTCTCAAATATTTACAACATAGAAATTTTACCTCTCATAAACATATTCCAGAATCGAGTGGAATAATTCGATTTTTACCATTTTACAGGTTGCTTTCAATAATTTCCTTAGATTTTATTGGATTATTAACTAACGATAGAGGTTGATAGATGATTTGTTTATCTAAGCAATTAAAGTTATCAGCAATTCAGTCATATGAACAAAGTGTTTCAAACGATTTTTATACCTATTATAAAAGAAAATAAATATTCTATGTTTTTTTTTTTTTCAAATCAAAATTCTATTGATATGGTTTATTATCTTTTTATTTTTATTATACCGTTTAATAATTTCATCTTGAAGTATAAATACAAATCACTTAATGGAAATAAGCATATTTATATATAATATAGATATATAATACATATATATATGTATATTATAAAATTAACGTAAGCCCTAGAAGAGGCTCTTCAGCCATATGCCCACAAGCAGCAGCAGCGCTGCCAAGGACATCCGTAGAGTGCCACTGCCATTGCAGCGATCCATCTGGCACACATCGCACAGATCTCCCACTGCGTCCTCCGGCAAGCCAACTTTCTCGCGCACGGCCTGGCAGCCACTCTGGCCAACTGGTATGCGAACGCAGCCGCGATTAAGCACTGAATAGAAGAGAAAAGAATCTCGATTAGAAAGGAAATTGAATACCTTGTTTAGAAAGTGATCAGGAGGGTACATTAGCTCAGCTGTCTAGAGTTTCTGCACTCACCACATATATCTTGCATATTATTTATAAATTTCAAATAACTATTCTATATGTAACTCAGATAAATCATTTGATTATCTATGTACTAAAATTAAGATAAATTAAAAAAAAAAATCTTTAAAAATGTTTTTTTTTTTTAGATTTTTCGGCTGTGAATGCAGTTTAGAAGTCACCTGAATGATATTCAATAATGAAGGCAAACTCTTTCAAAGACAAAATATACACAAATATTACTTAATCTTACAGTTTGAGTGAAATTACTAAGGCTTCACAGGTTGAGTCGTGCATTTAATAAATTAAAAATACATTCCTATTAAGATCTACCAAGACACCCAGTTTTAAGTCGCTGGATTAGTCTTAGAGTCACCAAACCTTACAGTTTTGTGAATACTGCTTTCGCTTTTGCAGTCAGTGCAGAAAACTGTACGCAAGCTATAGAGCACTTGGCAGTCGTTAACACCCGCTCGCAGTTACTACAACTTTGGCTCTACTTACCGCCATCTTTCTCGATGCTGTAGCAGGCCGCCGTACGATATTCAACGGCTCTTGCGTATGGATCAAGGGACCGATAGTTGCGAATCAGCTGATCGGCTGCCCGGGCCGCCAATGAGCGACGCGCACGGCCGGATCGAGCCCCGGCAGCAAAGGCTGCTTGCTTTCCATTTGGAGCAATCGTTGTGGACTCTTCATTTATCGTTGTGGATTCAGGGCTTGTTGAGGAATCCGTAGCTCCCTCCGATGAACTGGATGCTGAGGAGCCGGTAGATTCTGATGTGTCGATCGTTGTGGAAGCTTCGCTGGTTTCAACTATAGTTGGTTCCGATGAACTGGATGCTGAGGAGCCGGTAGATTCTGATGTGTCGATCGTTGTGGAAGCTTCGCTGGTTTCAACTATAGTTGGTTCCGATGAACTGGATGCTGAGGATCCGGTAGATTCTGATGTGTCGATCGTTGTGGAAGCTTCGCTGGTTTCAACTGTAGGTGTCTCCGATGAACTGGATGCTGAGGATCCGGTAGATTCTGATGTGTCGGGCGTTGTGGAAGCTTCGCTGGTTTCAACTGTAGGTATCTCCGATGAACTGGATGCTGAGGATCCGGTAGATTCTGATGTGTCGGGCGTTGTGGAAGCTTCGCTGGTTTCAACTATAGTTGGTTCCGATGAACTGGATGCTGAAGATCCGGTAGATTCTGATGTGTCGGGCGTTGTGGAAGCTTCGCTGGTTTCAACTGTAGTTGGTTCCGATGAACTGGGTGCTGATGTGTCGGGCGTTGTTGAAGAATCAGTGCTTTCAGCTGGAGTTGAGGAGGCTTCCGTTGTCTCTGCTACTGAGGTTTCGGTGGATTCACTGGTATCCGATGATGTGGTTGATCCTGTTTCCGCAGTTGGCGTGGAAGTCTCGGATTCTAAAGTGGTTTCCGTCGTGTCATTGCTGGTGGGATCAGTGGTACCGGACGGTGTTGTCGTCGAGTCACTTGTCTCCGACTCCGTTGTGCTCGACGATGACTCTGACGTTGAGCCTTCCGTAGTTGTTGTCGATGCTGGAATATCATCCAAATCGCAGCTTACTAGCTGATCCTCATTCAGATCATTACAATCCGATCCAACGCATTCGTAGCATTCGAGCGCATTTGCTAAAAAAAAACAAAAAATGAAAAATACATTAACAAGTTGTTCATATAAATAAAATAAAAGTTGTGTCAGAAATAACCCTGATTGATAAGTGGCATGGCTGTGTGTGCTCTTATGTAATGCAAGCCATTGATAACGTTATAAAAGATTTTATTCCAAGAGGTTGAGAGGAAAAATACTTCACTGGAAAAAATATGTTTTAGGTTGAAGTGAAGGCAACTTTCATGCCTATAAAAATGCACTAATTAGATGCTGAATGGAAGCAAAGAATGTTTTACAAATATATTTGTCCAAATAATCTATGTAATACATAAAAGCAACTTAGAAAATATATTCAATCGAAGAGCAGAATATTCTGGAGAATTTCTATTTCTATATAGTTGGAGAATATAAAATAGATAGTTCTCAATAAATAATTTATAAATTAAATGTAAATAAGAAATTAATTTAAAAATTGGGAAACAAAGTAAATATACTTGAAGAAGATCTTCATAAATTTGTAAATTAAAAAAAAAAAAAACAGGGTATAAAAAACTACCCGTTTTTCTGCCAGTGTATGTGAGCATTGTAAATACTTGGATATCGTGCAGTGTATGATGTAAGAAATATTAAGCAAGCTCTAAACTTAGTAGAGTCGAAAGTAGCGCTTGATCGGGTGTCCTGGTTCGATAGAGCGCATAGAATAATATGTGTGTGCCAAGGCATTCTTGCGGCATGCGTAACATCAAATGTGAACTAATTACAATAATGGGCATGGCCCTGGTCTTTTTCTTTGAATTGGGTGGAACATGCTGATAAGGCGTGTGCCCCGTGCGCAACTATCGTAGTTCGCTCAAAATCATACTTAGGACAATAAAGAAATGAAATCGATCGATGTTGGAATTTTGTTCTATTTTTTTTTTCTTTTTATTTTTAATTTCCATTTGTGATTGATTAAAATTGAAACTTTCGTGTTTTTTTTTGTTTTTGTCTCTTCCTTTTTTAGTAATATATCAATTTCTCTTTAGTAATATATCAATTATTTAAAAAATTTTAATTTTGTGATATATTCCTTGAATATGCTTTTCACTGTTCGTCAACGAGTATTGATGATTGCATAAATCTTAATAATTGGACGCGTTTTGCGCGCGTTATAAAACGCGCTGCTCACCTGGCCAAACGGCAGCGCACACACACAAGGATAACAGCATTAAATAAATGAAACGCATTGCGATTTATAGTTTGTGTTTTTTTTTTCACTTTGAAAGGATATGTGGCTCAAGGATCGTTTGGCTGCACTCGCGGTGCTCTCGCTTATGGACAACAGCTCGGCTCGACTCTCGAATGCAAACTACCAATTAAATAAATTGTTAACATGGCTTTTTTTTTATCACTTGGCACCGGCCAAGATACTCACAGGTTGGCTGCTCGGGTCGGGCCAATGGCACTGATAAGGCCACACTGAAGAGCGCCCCGTTGGCTAGTTAGTAAGCGGTTACAGTGAACACTCCTCAAACGGATGGTTGCCATGGCTAAGAGTTTGCTGGTGTTTCACTACATTTATTTCCAGGCTGATCGGAACTGGATCCCCTCTAAAAAAAGAACAAAGCTGTAATCTGAATTAATTCGCTGCTAATTCTGAGAGTTCTCGAAACGCAAGATATCGAAAGGAGCAATAAATAATTCATAGATGGAGTTCGTACAGTCTTAACTTCACGTGCGGAGGAAAGGAATTAAATGAAATGAATATAATTCCACAAGCAGAGAACTAAAATAAAGAGCCGAAAAAAAACAATTCACATTAGAAACTATGAAATGAATTTATAGTTCATGAATGGCGCTAAAATTGAGAAATTTTATATGAAAAGGAGCAATATATAGATCAAACAACTTTGGAGGCAATGAATAAAACCAAATGGAATGGGAATAATTAAAAATTAAAAATAAAATATATTAAATGTGAGAGATATGAATATATTTATTTTGATGTATAACTGTCCATTCTAGCGTATGCCCACTGCTTTATTGTTTTTTTTTGTTTTTGTTTTTTTGGTGCTATTTTGTTGCTGAGAGATATTTTTCGATGAGTCGATAAGATCGGCTATAATAGAACGATACGCCCCGCTGCTGCTGCTGCTGATAAATAGCATATTACGATTTCCAGGGCAAATATTTGTATTGCCTTTTTGTCGACCCAATATCTACAGCGCACTTCCTCAGGATATAGCCCATTCGCCCCAGACGCCAGAGAAGTGGACTGCGATAAGCAGGAGCCATAAACGCTGGTTTCCTATTGACCACTCGAAATGCGCATTCCGATCGATAAATACTCTAGGCCAATGGACTTTATGTGGATGAGCTGGAGTCTTAAGGGCTTGCAATACCTTTCACAATGGAACTACAACGAACTAGACTCGTGTAATGGCAAGTCAAAAATTTATTTCATTTTATTATTATTATTTTATTTATTTATTTTTTTTTTTTTTTTTATCGATTGGCAAAGCTTCTAAGTTATGAAAACTGATAAAACTTTCTGAATGTTTGTGTGGTTTTAGCCCAAAGACAAATTGATAAAAAATAATCAAAGATAATTTTGAATATGTGTCTCTCCGTACATATACATATGTGTGTAAGTGTATATGTATTTGGATATAGTAGTACCTAACGGCGGTGCAAGTTGAATATTTTCGCCAACAATTTTTTTTGCCGATGATTCACATATTTGGTCAGCCGTTTAACAAATAACCTTTGTCTGCACACAGCACACGTAATCAAACGAAGAGAATACATTTCCGTAAATTGCAACAAAAAAAGAAAAGAAAACAACACATACTATGCATTTATTTAAGCTTATCATCTAAGGTCTATAAACCTGAAACAGTTCAGGGGAAAAACCTATTTCAATGCCATTGAAATGCACTTTTAGAGAATTAATCATTGAAGGAATGGATACTAATCTTGATTGCTTAAACTTTAAAACAAAGTACTTAACTGTCAACAAATATAGAAATATAACGGTTAATTACCCGTCTATGGCTCTATCTTTATGTCTAAGAAATCATGACTGTAAAAAAAAGAATATATAGATTATTGTATATATACGAGGTCAGCCCAGAGGATATTGCATTTAGATAGAGCATTTCAGCTATTTTTTAGTTAAGCATACTTAACTTACAATTTTTGCTAAGCAAATTAAGTTAATTTTTATATATTATTGATTTTTTTATACAAGTCATAAGGAAATCAAAAGTTCACTCATTGCACGTTATCTCGCGGCCAGTTAAAAGATAACTCGAAATTTAATAAAAAAAAACTTTCACTCACCCTGAGTTGTTTATCATCGTCAGAGATAGGAATATATATATATACATATTCTTTTTATATAGAAATCATTATCAAATCGTAACACTTTATAAGGCAAATAATTATATATATTTATGATTTATGAAGGTCAACTTCTCGAGAAAGCTAACACTCGCTCAGACAGTTAAAATAAGTATATTGGTTTATAAAAAGAATGCTATAAGATCGAAATCAATTAATAAGAAGAAAAATCATGGGAGTTTAAAGCAAGTATCAATCAGTCGGTTCCATATCTATTTATATCATATATCAACTATTAAGCTCTTTTCCGATGAGTCAGATTCCATTTGCTATTTAGCTGTAAATTTTCCCTGGGAAAGTGACATATCTCTCGACTCATCGTATCTATAAATATAAATATTATTTGACTATTGCGCTTTTAATTTATGGCACAATATTTTGAGAGTAGGATGCGCACATACACTTTTCGTACGCACTGTTTATGCATAATAAATACAAAGCAGAGCACATTTTTGTCGATTTGTATTATTATTATTTTTTTTTTTGTTATTAATGAAATCTTATCTTATCTTATTGTTTGTGGTTTACTTTTGTACACTGTTTGCTCTGAGCAAATTTACTTAGCATAGTTGGGCCTAAAAGTATGCCCCTTTCCTCCATACCAAAAATGTTTTTGTTGGCCCAATGCGGCGTATGCGCAATGGACGCAACATTGACCCAGAGCTAAATTAGTCAAGTCAAGTGATTCAAGCGACACAGAAAGCGACTGATAACTAGATATATGGAGGTTTATCTGGCTTCTTAATATGTTTACTTCGTTAAATCGTGACGAAAGCTCTGAATGCCTAAGCAAATAACAAAATGTGTTAACTTGTAGCTCAGGTATAAATAGAAATATTCTTAGCAGATCAGAGGGTTAATATAATTAGCATAGCTCAAAGAACTTTGTTTTCCAAGTTAATTATTTATATAATGTTAGATAACAGATCTTTTAGCTTTATTAACTTTCGTTTTTTTATAGCATCCACAAATCTTTTCAGATAGAGTTTAAGCTATACCAGATTTATGAATGTGAACATGCTTTGCAGGTTAGAAAATTGATATGAAGAGCTATGTAAGAGGTATGGTTTGTCTTATTCTCCTAAACAAATAAAAAAAAATTTTTTTTGTAACTAATACAACTTTTTTTACTAAAAAAAAAAAAATAAAAATAAAAAATTAAAAATATATTTTTAACTCATATTGGCCTTTACTTCATGACATTAAATTCTCTTTACTTAAAGCTACATGGAAACACCTTACGTCTATAAATCTCTTACTTTCTTTAATCCAATACATCAAATAACTATTGATACTAATCTTGACTTGGTTTAGATTCCACATTTTTCAACACAACATAATTTAATAATTTATTTATTCCAATGAATTTTAATCGAACCAATCAAGCATACCACAAACTAGAACCTGTTGAGAGTTAAAATAAATACATATGTACATATGTATATCCCGATCAAAATAAAAAAGGCAAAAATTGAGATTTCTCAATCAATTTTGGAGAGAAAATTTGAAAAATCTTTAATACATAAATAGTTTATTACATATCAATTAAAATTGTCTTATGCTTCACATTTGGTTAGCTTTAGTTCATTTAGAATTATATATATAGAGGCGTATGTATAATATATGTATATTTCGATATTCGTGTGTGTTTGTTTTGTTTTTGTATCGCTTACAAATTACATAAAGTTTTCGCATGACTTAACAATGAGAGTGTTTGTGTGTGTGTGTGTGTGTGTATGTGGGTTCGTGTGTGTATTTGCGTGTACCTTAAAGAGAGTAACAATATGTACTAAATAACACCGGGTTGGAGTGAGAGTTGGACAACAATGGAGGGGCGGTTGGGGGCGTGTAAGATTTCATGGCGGCGAAGAACATTTGTCACAGTATTCAATATTTATTGAAGTTGTAGCACAACTGCCGTTAGTGCCACAGCCACTGTCGCCAGGATGGAGGCATGCACCGTGGATGTTGCTGCATTGCAGGCATTCATGGTGCACGGATCACAATGCGACAACTGAACGCCGACGTTTTGCAGCTGAAGCTCCTGGCAAACCGATTGCTCTGGCTTGACACGTGAGCAACCGCGATTCACTTGCTTCACATTGTTGACTATGGATAGAGATTGGAAGTAGTATCGTCAGATCAGGATTCATCTATATATGTATGTGTATATGCTCACCTGTCTTCTGCACCTTGTAGCAGTGATAGCTAATGTCTGTATCAATCAGAGCTCTGCGCTGGCGGATGTACAGATCTGTGGAGTTTTCTGAGTCAGTAGCGTCCGAAAATTGAGTCGATATCTCCAGCCTATTCAATCCAGTCTCTTCTGGGGGTGTAGGCACACCGGTGGTAGTCTCTGGCGGGCCCACTGTAGCAGGCGTTGGGATGGGCAGATCTGTGCGGGCGGTCGTCTCGGTAGTGCCTGGTTCGGTAGTGGTTTCTACAGTAGTGGTGCTGGTCTCCGGCTCGCTGGTGGAAGCCGGTGTCGATTCAGATTCTGTTGCGGTACTTCGCGTATCTATGGACGTCTCCATTTCGGTTGTCGGTCTGGGGTCTTCGGTACTGCCTTGATGATTGAAGAATTCCTCATTGCAGGCCAATAGAGGCGTATTCTTGTCCACATTCTCACAATTATCGCAAACATAGCACATCAGATCTCCAAGACACGCTGCAAATAAAAGCAGATAATGGTTAGAGGTCGAGCAGAATTGATCTTTTTAGCTATGTATATTATTATGATACTTAATCGTAATATTAGTCAGAAAAGTTCCAAGCGAATCCCAATATAAGCCGATCGTATTCTTCAGCCCAATAGATAAGACCGATATATCATATATCATAAAATCATATAAATCATTGTAGCTTCAATATATATAAATATGTCTATTCAGACAACTTTGGGGGGTTTAAGATTCAACTTTCTGTGTCCATAAATTAAATGCTCCATAAATTCTTAAACAATATCGCATTTGAAATTTTTAGAGTTTGATTATGGTGATACATATGTATTGTATGTATATCTGTCCTTATCTGTATCTCCTAAAACAATTTATAGCTTTGGTAAACACTGAAACGAGCAAACGATAAACGATTAACGATGACAAAGCGATCTAAACTCGACCATGTGTGGGCCATAAATCACAGCAATGGGCTCATAGACTCATAGAAAATATTTGTCGCAATGTTTGCTCATTTCTTATTATTAGCTTTTAATGTGCGAGCAATGTTTGCATTATTCATCTATTATCAAACCATTTATCGATCGAGCTCCACGGTGTGTGAGGCGATCTTCGGCCATGCAAATTTCCAATTACTAAAAACAACAATCAGCAAATAGTTAGCCTCTTGTGCATAATGCGAACCTGTTGATACACTGTCATAATTACGTCAATTGCCTTATCAAAGCAGTCAATGTCAATATAGCTGCTGTTCACCATGTGCCAATTGATACTCTCTACAGGTATGACGCATCGCCAACGGGAGTCGAGCCAATAGCAAAGTAGGCGGGGCTTAGTTCCTGTCTAGTCAAATTCCAGTCAAACTGTCCACTGGCCGCTGATATACACAGATAATTTGGGTGTTAACGACTAGGCGATACTCTGTTCCTCAAGTTAAAAGCTCGATACTGATTGTAGACTCTGTCCTAGAGCTCTAATTGAAATGCATTGCTTGTTAGACTATATTAGAAAATGGAATATATCCATGTTACGCAAATACCTTGTCTTCTGTCTATGATATAGGATACTCACTATTAAAACTGTAAAAATGCTTCTAAAAGTGTTATTAGTATTTGCTATTATTTTCATAGCTTTAAAACTATGAAAGTGGCCTTCAAACTGTAATCTAGTATAGCTTAAAAACTTTCTAAGGCGTGCGAAAGATATGCGATGATTCTTTCGATAATCTCTTCAGTTAGTCAGCTGCTAATGCCTTTCAGGCTGTATTTTAATCTATTGCTTCAAAAGTTTTTGATGACTTTTATGAGAGGCGGATGTGAATTTTATGACATTGGGATTTTTTTATCAACAAATTAGCTAGGCTTATTAAAAGTCACTGGAATGCTCCACAACTATGTGAGTGCCTGTAGAACTGCATACATTTTGTAGAATCCAGAAGTAAAAGTCTATGGGTCTGTATACCTACAACTCTGCTGAAACTAAAAGTGAAAGCAGTTTCTATCCCTTTCTATTGTTCAGTAGAGTTTGCTCTAAAAAATCTGTATACCCCTTAACTACGCGTATAGTGTATGTCAATATTGCTCATACGCTGCGTCTGCCCATTCAATTTGCCCACAACATTTTGCTGAGTACTACGTACGGCTATGATATATATATGATATAGTTGAGTTGCCTGACTGTTGACTTAAAAATTATTAATAAATCACATTGATTGATGGGCAAGCGTCGGCTGTAGAAGTCGGAGAGAGACACCGGCTATAGCTGGAATGTGGCTTTAATGGCACGTGATAAGCGAATTTATACTTGATTTGCTCATGAACTTGGGGTTCATTTATTTACGTTGATTTTATTTTCCTTTCTCATTTGCAATAAATAAGAGTTGTATAATATCATTAGGATTAGGCAGCCACGACTCATCCAAACCAGTTTCGTTGCGAAAGAGAGTTAAGATTGTTGCGTTCTTACGGCAAGGTATTTAAGTTCAGTCAAAATGCATGCACTGAGCGAAAATATTTCATAAAATTAGAATTTGAACTGTATTCGCAACGAGAATCTATTTAAGGCATTTTAAATTCCGAATTTAAGAAATATGTTTTAAAAATATGAAATTGTTTTAGGTAGAAAGTGAAAAATCTAGCTTGATTTATTTCTAAAAATATAATTTAAGCTTTGGAATGTATCAACTTTATTTTAAAAAACATATTCCCAATTAGTTTTTCTTATTCAATTTATAGAAAATTTTTTTTTATAGATGCAATTACTGCTCACGCGCTTCAGGTCTTAGCTCGAACCGGCACTATTATAATTGTAATTTATAAACTGACTATCAGACGAACTACTTATAAATAGTGAGCTTTAGTTGCATTATTATAGATAGTTAGATACATCTGCATAAGATGGGAGCTTACGTAAATGCTTTACGTTTGTTGTGGAATCGGGCGGGAATTTCAGGTTATTGGATTTGGTGCTAAATACTCAAGCAGGTTGTTCTTGTTGTTGTTGTTGTTGCTGTGCATATGTGCTAAACGACAGCTGTCATGTGTCCCAAACATGTCTGTACCAAGTGCACTGCAAAGTCAACTAACTGAAAACTCACAGCACAGTCGCAGCTTTTCAATTAGCAGTCGAAGCGCTGTTTCAATGTCAAAATCGAGATTACCCATAGTAAAAAGAAACTAAATGTTACACAGAAAACTTGAACTGAAATTATCCACTTAAAGTGCAACCCAAATTTACAGCTGCCTCTCAAAACCAGTTCAATTTCCACTTTAGAAGTGGGAGCGTGTCGAGCTATATATATATAATATATACTAAATAATCTGATATATGACACTATTTTTATTCTGTATGGCCCAAAAAACTTGCATAAATGTGTCATAAATATATCATTTAAATAATTTAATGATTATAATTTTTTTTTTTTAAGTTTTCTTTTTGTATCAAAATTGTTAGCTAACAAGTTTCGTTTTTCATATTTATGTGCTTTTGTCTTATTGTTTAATTAATGCTTAGAAATCTCTTGTTAAAAATAAGTTAAAAATATATATATATTTTTAACTTCAAAGTTTCTGCATTTTATATCATTCTATTACTTTTATTTTTAACAATTTGGTATCAATTTTTATTTTAAATTATTTTATATTCTTTAATGTATAACAAATAATTGCGTTTTTATGAATGCCATAAATAAGCTAATGAGCTGTGTCTATCTCTGTCACTAACTCTATTTGTCTCTCTCTATTTCTATTTATTATAGCTAATTTATTTTTGTAGAATTTGCTAGTTTCTCGATTGATAGATTCTTCAAAATATATACACACATATATATAAATAGTGTTAGAATGGAATCCAGAACTTTTTGCCTTAATAACCTATAGAATCGAAGGACATCTATAATATATATATTCAGTTATTTCCAAGCTTAAAGTGTAAATTCAAGTCAAACTATAAATGTTTACATATGTAGATAAAATATGACAAAGCAAAACTTAAATCAAAAGCTGTCTGCATTGTTATATATCTGTAATATATCTGTCTGTGAGGTGTCAACATTTCCGCATCATAAAAATCGGGAATGTGAACGTTCAAAATTGTCAGCAATTTTCGCATTATTTATGATAATTTTTGTTTTACTTCGATTTTTTCCCTTATAATTATGTTTTTTTTTTTAAAGCACAAAAAACATTGCGATTGCAATGAATGCAAATGAATGAATTAGCATTTTATAATTTAATTGTTGTTTTGTTATTTATGAATTTTTGTACTTTGGCATTTCACAGCAACAAAAATAATAATTATAATTATTTTATCGTAAATTTGGTATTTTATTTTTCATTTTTTGCATTTTATCAATATTATTTATAGTGCTTAGCATAGAGAGTAGTCCGTCGTTTATTCACGGTCCAAACTAATGCGGCCGCATCAATATTTTTATCACTTTTTGTTAATATCAGTCTTTGGGCTGGGATATCGACCCAGACACTTTGACACTCAACACACATTTTGGATTTTGTGATTTTTTGTTTTTTTTTTTTTTTTTTTTGGGGGGGTTTTCTTACCTGGCGCGACGAGCAGCAGAAAAAAGGCGCCGTACAAAGTTAAGGGAAAACTGCGATTCATTGTGATATACTGTATTTTCTATATATATAGGTATTTATATTAGTTTTAGTTGATAAAAACTTTTATACACTGTTTATCGTATATATAGAGAACTACACAATATTTAAAATATATGCATTAATTATATATACATATATATAGATCGATGCAAACGCGTCTTCAGCTTACGCGACCGCAGTTTATGAATTCTGAAATTTAACTGAAAATCTTGTGATTTGTTTGAGACTTTTTATAGAGTTTTATAAGCCAGTTGCGCAGCGGCGTAAGACAGAGATAGCTAGCTGGCGTAAAAGAGACAGCGAGGCAGTGTGAGAGTGAGAGAGAGAAAGTGAGCGCATTTGAGTTTACGTTTGCCCGCTGTAGTTAGTGTGCGTGGGTAAATATTTACTTATTGATAACAAATTAATTTATAATATAAAATCCAAATGGCCAAACAAATGAAAATTGAACGGGCACAAAGAGAGAGGGTAAGAGCCTCACAGAGCACACTCTCTTCGACTTTTTAGGTTTGCCGTCTAGAGCTGCTACTCTTCCAACTTGCGCTTGATGTGCTCCAACGTCTGGGAATTCTCGCCAAGAGAATGAGAAGGCGGCGTAAAGGTTTTCCGCCTTAATGATTCAATGTCTGGATTTCTTACAAAATCCCCACACGGTACTTTATGTATGTGTATATCAAATACACTTTGAGAAAAATCTGATGGGAAAGCAATGAAACTATGATTTAAACATAAAATATTATACAGTTATTATTTTATACATTTTATAATTTATAAAGGAGTATAGAATATAATATATACATTTATAATAAAATTATTTTCTATAAACCCAATATTTTTCTTATTTTAAATTTAATTATTTATAATTTTAAAATTTGATTTTCGGTTTGATTTTCGGAATCTACGCACCTAACACTAGGTACAACCTTTAGAAGAAAACATCGGCACAGTAGAAACTATCGGTAAAGTCGAAAAGTAGGGGCAACCATTTTGCCAGACAATCTTTTCGCCTGCAGAAAAAAAAAAAAATTTCATACATTTAATAAGCAACCTTGACTTTTCTAGGTGTACAATGCATTTACAACTATTGCAATAAATTGTATGCTAATTCAACAGTTAGCACATTGTTTATTGTTCCTGGTCTGGTTGTGATCAATGTGCACACCTTGATGGGACGCGCCCGCCTTGAATATAAACAAATGTCAATCCCTATATTTACTTTAAAGAGATACTGCATTATGCGTGCACCAGGTTAATGTTAATGTTGATTTGAATGTGGATGTCGCATGATTACTATTACTCAATATTAAAAGCACGCAAAATAAACAAAGCTTGATTTCAATTTTTCCTCGCTCGGCTATATTAATTAACACATTTTTATTTGGTATTTACCCGTGCCATTTGCACCTATTGTGCAGCTGCTGTTGCGACAACAAGTCGTGAGAATCGCCGAGAAGAGTACGCCTGTACTACTTGACCGAACAAAAAAAAAAAAAAAAAAAAAAAAAAAAATAAATATAACAAGTAAGAAAGCTCTAGTCGAGACTGCTCGACTACGAGATCCCCTGAACCCTTGGAGCAATAGATATTTCAATACTTTTTCGCGACTTTCAGCTTACACAAGAAACACGCACACACACACACACGCACGTACGCAAACACAGGCATACATACACACACACGCATACAGACACACATACACACACACACGCATACATACACAAACGCATACACACACACACATACACACACACATACACAAACACATACACACACAAGCAACCATGCATAAACACGCATGGGCTGCAGTGTGCGCTTACTATGAGAACTTAATTGTTTAATAACTTTTTTTATGGACGTACGATCTTCATGAAACTTTTAGATTATGATTATAACATGAATATGCATGTACTTGCCAAAGCACAAGTCTCTAGTATTTGAAATACGCTTTTTACAAAAGTGAGGGTGAGGGGGTGAATTTAGAGGTGGGGGGTAAATTTTAACAAAAACCGAAATTGTATAAATTGCATATAAGCATACATTAAAAATTTGGAGACTCTAGCAATAAAGGTGTAGAAGATATAATTTTATAACTGGGTTTCGATAAGGGTTTTTATCGATAAAAAAATATCGAGATGAGTTATCGATTTTTAATGATAAACTTGATATGCGCGCTGTAATTACGGACATTTTAAAAAAAATTTGAAGTCTCTAGCTCTTATATCTTCTGAAATCGACGCGTTCATACATACGGACAGACGGACAGACGGACAGACAGACGGACAGGGCCAAATCAACTCAGCTCGTCACCCTGATCAAGAATATATATACTTTGTGGGGTCTGCCACGCCTCCTTCTCCCTGTTACATACATTTCAACAAAACCATTATACCCTGATTTCCCATTGAAAATGGGTTCAGGGTATAAAAACAAAACAACAAAAAAGTGTTTCATTTGAATGCACAAAAAGGTTAACAACAATCGCTGCTAATCAAATTGGGTGACTGCCCGAAAAGAAACCTTTGATAACAGCAAAGTCAAGGTCAAAGAGAGGTTAATGCGAAGCAAGAATAACCTCGATACAATTTACAGTTTTCAGCAATTAACTACAGTTAGCTCTAGCTTATTTATTTATTTATTTCTTATTATTATTATTATTTTTTTTAAAGGTTTTCCAAATAATAAAAATATATTGAAGTGTATAACAGAAAGGTAGGAATTTTTTAATTTTCAATAATTGCCACATTATCTAGGAAGAATATGCTATGAGTGCTACAAATTGTGTGTCCGATAAGTGATTAAAAAATTCTTTGTTTTTAAAATATTTTTAAATAACAAAATAAGAATTTTGTATTAATTACAGCAAAAATTTTGGGTTAGAGATTAGAATACAAGAGTGGAAATTAGTTATCTGTATTTGTTTTCCTGTTGTCACTATCGACAGAACATCTGAAAAATTAAATAAAAATTGCTAAAAAAAAAAAAAAAAAAAAACGAAAGCTATACACAATTGGAGGTTTATGCTCTTGTCAGGGCTCAGGTCACATGTAATTTCGACCCTGACTCTTTTCGCTCTCATGCATAGATCGTGCGTAGTGGTTTCATTTAATACACATCTATGTTGTTAACTTCGTTTCTGCTGGCGACTGAATCGTGCTAAATGGCCAAAAATTACGTTTTGTGTCTGGGCATTAACTGACGCATCAATATTTTTCAGAGACCCGACCGCAGATAACTGGCAAAAGAATGAAAAGCAAAAACCAGTTGAACGTAAAATATGAAATTTGTGATTTGCAATTGCTGGCGATATCACGTAAATCGCCAAAAGCAAAACAAATATACATATGCATATATATATATATATATATATATATATATATATATATATATATATATATCTACATAAATCTGCTCCCTAAGAGAACTCTCTCAGAATTCGTTAGCTTGTTGAGAAAAACCAATACTGATGCGACTGAGACTGACAGCTCTGTGCCCGGAAGCTTTAGGCGTTACTAAAATACAACAAGGAAGCCGAAAAGCCCAGCCAGCCTTTATATGTGCTTCATATATATACATATCTATATCGTACATAAATACCATATAGTATATTTTATCGAATTTTGCTTTACAAATTTGGCAATTGCATTTACTGTAGTTAAACGACTAGCAGATACACTGCTCTTTAAATATATATATTCAGTTTCGATATAGGGATTTTAGCAACATTTAATAGCTGACTTTAATTTGATTATTCTCTATAAATAAGTTTTAAATAACTTTCTTGTATTTACTTCAAAATTCTATGAAATACAAAGCATCTATATAGCTTTAAGTACTGATCGCTTATCGAGCCCAACTTCTACCTGTTACATATGTACTATACTATTTATTACACCGCTTTGCAAAGCTGTACGCAAACTAATTTTAGATGCCAACAGCTGTTCGTAACGGAGCACAAGTTGCCTTAAAAGCCAATTCGTTTTTAACGTTGCTTTGTTTCCGATATTTGTGCGCAAACGGAAGATTCGTTCATCACCTAATTAAGAACGTGCAACGCCTTTCGTGTCAGTGTCCAATTGTCTGGCTGTAAATCGTTCAAATTGCGGGCAGCGATTGCCACTTGAGGCCTAATGCTATCAGTTGATCAGTTTGATCATCAGTTATAAGCAATAGAAATGAAGTCACATTGATTTCGGTTTCATTTCTCAGCTTATCAGCTGCTGTAATTGATTTGTCATTGCTGTGGACTGTGGAACGGGTAGCCCGAAAGAAGAACGAAATGAATGGGCACTTTCCCTAGCACGAGCCCCTTATCGCCCCGGGCCAATTGTACAACTAGGCAAAAATAGATCGGCCGCTCATTAGCTCACCGCGAGTGGCACGTAATTAAGATCGAAATAGACTTGAAATAGCGCCCACGCATAGCATGCACACATATTTCAATATATATATATATATATATATTTGTATATTTTATTATTATAAATTATATATATTTTTGTTTTGTTATCAATTACAGACCCACAAGGAAGACACTACGGCCAGCAGCGTCATAGAGAACGGTATTTGGCCCGATAAACGCCCAGTGCCACTGTTACCGTTCAATGAGCCGATGACGGCGGCATTAATCGGCGAATTACAGCCGTTGAATTCGCATAAAGTGCAGTCCAGCACACTCCAGCCATCAAATAGAGACTTGCAGACATCGCTTTGATTTTCATTCGTGACCAGGGTGCAGCCACGATTCGTTATTTCCGTGCCATTAACTGGGCAGAAACGAGATCAAGATCAAGTCGAGGTTCATGTGAATGAAAGAATTGTTAATAGCATTATTAATAATATTAGTATTAACATTAGTATTATTACCAATATAACAGTTGGAATTTCTATAAGCCTTAGTCGATAGACTGTAAGTATATTTCTTATCACTCACTCATAATATTATAATTTTTATTATCAATATCATTAACAATTTTCATTATCATCATCAATATCATTTCATCCTAATCAGGTCTTATTTTTCAAGTTTTGCAACTGCTAGGCGAGACAGACTTCCGAATAGACGGAGACATAATAAGAAGTCAAATTAGAGTTGTAAATTAGAAATGCCCGGTAAACTGCTTTGACTATATAACTCATATCTAAAGTTTGCATTTGAGTTGCCAGTTGTTCAGCTAATAACAATAAATAGGCCCATTACATAAGCATTGTTCAATCAACGCGCTAGCTAATCGCTTTTCCATCTGTTACCGCGTCCATTTATCATGCCTCAGCGTACAACAGATAAAAGATGTAGATAAACTCTTGTGCATAATAATTCACATTTCTTAAGCATTGATCTTAAGTGTGATTATTTGAATTATATGATTTAATATGTCCACTGATATCATAGCAAGGAAAACGAGTGTAAAACGTTTTCTTGGATACCACTTAATCAATGCAAACAGTTTGAAATGTAGCGATAAGAAGCAACAGGTAGAGAAGCCGAACGAACGTTACAAACTTAATAAAAGAAAGAAACTATTTATTGAGTCAATTATCAGGTGGAAAAGCTGTTTTTAATCTTTTAAGTTCAAGTTCTGTTTGAAATGGAAGATTGGCTTATTAAGGAAAAAATCCAAAAATTCTCATACCTAAAGTACTAATGAAGACGTTTCATATAAGATGTAGATCAAATTTTAGATTTTCCAAGTGTTTTTGATTCCAAACATTACTATACATACATATATATCAGTTAATTAATCAGTCAGCTATCACTCTGGCATAAGTCAGTCTGAGATCAATCAGTCTGTCATCAATCAATAAATCAAACATCAATCAGCCAATGATCAATAAGTTATCAAGCATTAATCAGTCAATCGTCAATCAGTTTCTAATCATTCTATGAGTCATCAACCATTCATACAATCATATGCTAAATCCATACTTACGCCCTAGACTTGCTATATAGCAAACGGCTCGCAGTGTACTCTGGATCTGTCGCTGAGTCTGGCGACTGATGCTGCGTTTGTTTCGATAATCGTAATCCTCTTCTTCTTCTTCTTCTTCCTCGCTTTCGCCATTAGCGGCGGCTGGAGCTGGAGCTGCTGCACCAGCTACTGTGCCCGCGCCAGCAGCAGCAGCTCCAGCCCCATTGGTGCCAGCAGATGCACCTGTGGCAGCATCCTCCTCATCACTGTCATAATCATCCTCATCCTCGCTTTCGGATGCGGCAGCTGGTGATGATGCCGGTGCTGCTCCTGCAGTGCCTGGGGCAGTTGCACTCGCTGCCGGAGCAGCTGGACTAGGTACGGGCGCTGGATTGGGTTTCGATGCAGCGCTGGGACTTGATACAGCTGTACCTGGCTGGCCAGTTGCACTCGGCTGCTCTGCTGTCAAGGCTGGCACACTGCATACCTCCAGCTCCGTAAGCACCGACTGCTCATCACAGTCCTCGCATGTATAGCAACGCAGTGCTGCAAATCAGGAAGTCAGGAATAACGTTATCTGCTCCACTCAACGGATAATTTATCCCGATCCATATCTATCGCCCAATTAGTTTCTTCTTTTTTTATGACAATTTCACCCACCTGAGGTGCCGACAGAGTAAAATGCCAGCAACAATAACAATAGGTAGATGAAACGCATTTTGCTCGCAACGACGATTATGAATATTTATCCTGAAGATAAATATTACTCAAAATATTCAATTGTTAGATGACGTGTCACTGCGGCCGTAGCTACCGAAAATTTGAATTGAACTGCCAGCGTTGATAGCGACACGTCGTCGTCGTCGTCGTCAAGCTGCTGTGCTTTGGATGACTCTATCAAAAATTTTTACCGTCTGCCCATTTGCTATCAGCCAATGTGACGGCGAAAATAATTTGCGGTACTGCTGAAACATGTCGCGCACTGCGCTGGATGACATGTCGAACCGGCTCGATAGCATCACCAAAAAGAGTTTCAAATTAAACGTTTGGGCGGTTGGGTGGTTGGGTGGTTGTGCGGTTTGGCAAATTGCTGGTTGATTGTTGGCATCTAACATGAGTAATGGGAATATTATCACTGATTGGCAAAAGACAACGTAGGAAGCCAAACTGTAACGATCAACAGGCAACTGTGCTACACTAGAAACTGTTAGACAGTCAACCAATTATCATTGTAGATGCTCTCTACTTTGTTGCATGTCTTCAGCTACAATTTTCTTTTCGAGGATATATCAAAATATTGTAGCTGCACTGTATAACATTGAACTATTATATACATCAATTAGAGGAACCCCACCAGCTGTGTAAAACTGTTATATAGTTACTATTAAAATAATAGCTTGTGCAGTAATACACTTCTAGGCTCACACGGCTATGCTGTTATCCTGTTATAGTTACTCAATTTGACATACTGGCATACTGGCATACTGTTATACTGATATTCAGTCATATTGCTCAACTGTTATACTGTTCTACTAACCAAAGTGCTGTAAATAAAAGCCTAGCAATGGCGAGTGTTATACTGTTATATTGTCATACAGCATTGCTTGTGCATTTTATTTGCCATATTTTCATTTTGCTTATAAACTAAAATGAGCTCTACAAAATTGCATTTGTTTTCAACAATTTTAGCTGCAATCGAAATGTGCAGATTTATTTGTTTTGTTTTTGCTATTTTTGCTTTTGGGCGTGGCCGTGGGACGTAAGCACTTAATTAAGCTCGCTGTGGAGTTGTGTTGCTCATTGTTTTTTCATTCGTTTATTATTTCACAAATAGTTTTCTGTATTGCTTTGTTCAACTTTTCTAATTGCACATTTAATTAACATTTGTTGCACGGTTCTTTTTTATGATTTTTTTTCCCTTATTGTTTTTGTTCTTGGTTTTCACACTTTTGTTGATTGTTTTTAGCGTATTTCGAAAATCAGAGTATAAATACATACATTTTCATTCTAATATATTGATATACATAAACATATATAGATATATAGTTTTCTTGTAATATTATTGCTTAACACTCAGATATCAACGGGATTTTTTCTAGCATATTATATGATTCGCACACTCTTTCCACTGTATTTTCGTTAGAGTATAGTAAAAAATGTTTTATCAATTGATGTTAGAGTATTCGGAATTCAGAATGCACAGAATTAAATACATTCAGTGTGTTTTCATTTTTTCTTTTTTATTTTAATATTTAAATATTTTCTGTATGGTCTTGTAAAGCACATCTATTTAAGTTCGATCTATCTAAACTACACATTCAAATAGAATACCATGAAATAACCATGAATAAGCAACTAAAAAGTGCTTATAAATTTTCATTTTTAATATAAAAAATTATTATTTCTGCTCTACCGGCTTAAAGCAAAATTAACTAAAGATCGGTTTTTATTTATTTATTATTATTATTGTAGAGTTATTTCATGGTATCATTCATTTAAATGTTATATATATATATATATTATATTTATTCAACACTCCAATGTGAACAATAGAAAATTAAAGGCATTTGGTGAATTCATACTTAACTTTCAGCTTATCAACATTTGCTCAAAGCAAATCAATTACAACTCAATAAAGCCATAATAAAACATTTCAGCCCAACTACCTGACAAAATTCGTGTTAATTGACCAAGTGACGGACTCTCAATCAAATGAACTGAATTGCAAATCCTTGATATAAGACACATACATTGGATGGTTACCTTTACCTTTTCCCTTTTGCTAATTAAACATTAAATTTGTCTCCTTATTTAGTATGTTATTATTATTATTATTTTTTTTTAGTTTTCTCATTTTGTATTTTTTTTCCAGCCAATCCGCCACTGCTGCAATGCAATGTATCGGTATCTCTGCAGTTGTCGTTGTGTATCTGTACCTTGTTTTCGTACTTGTATCTTTGTAGCTGTGTTTTTTGTAGCAATAGATGTGTATCTGTATCTCAGTCGCCGTAGCTGTCTATCTGTATCTGTGTTTTTGGTCTCGTATCTGTGATTTGGTATAGGTATATCTTCAAGTCGGTCTCTGTATCTCAGCTGTCTGTAACTGTTTTTGCTTTTCTATGTCCTAAAATCTCAGTGTCTGTATGTGTAATTGTAACTGCTTATTTATAGACTTTTTAAATTTCTATCTGTATCGGCTTCACTTTCCACATTTATAGCTTAATTACTGTATCTCCGATGTTACCTGTATCTTGGTAGCTGCTGTTATGTATCTGTGCTGTTGTATATCCATTTATAGCCGTAACTATATATCCGTAATTACAATTCGGTTTCTCTCTATGCGTTTGCATCAATTCCTGTTGCTGTACTTTTTTAGGTGTGTCCGTGTAGCTGTTGCTGCTCACCTGCATCTGTGAGCAATTCGTTGTTGTTGTTGTTGTTGCATTCGTGTTCCGCTGTCACTTACATATCTAGGGCTTTGGTAGCAATAAGAGTGGTCGGGCTTTGGGGTGGGGTCAGGGGGAGGTAAGGCTTGTATGCTGTGATTTTTCTTTTTCTGTATCGCTCAATGGCCACTCGAATATTTACAAAAGGTAAATGATAAATGTTAACGTTAACTCAACCTAAATGCAACCAATGGCGCCAGCCATCGCCGTCTATCGTCCGTCGTCCATCACTTCAGCAGCGAAGTGGTCGTGCCCAATGCAGCAGGAGCAGCAGCAGCAGTGATAGTGGCCCCAACAACAGCGATGATGTCAGCGTCACTGCAGCCGCCCCGTTGCAGCGATCCGTTTTGCAAATGTCACAGAAGAACTCCTCCTCCGGCGCCTTCTCATCCGCATCCTGGCCATAGCCTTTGCGTCGCTGCTGCTGCTGTTGGTCGTGCTCGCGTCGCCGCTGTCGCTGCCCGCCGCTGGCATCGCTGGTGATTCGCAGCTTCGAGCGCAGGATATCGCATGCATCCGAGTCGCCAGTGTCCAGCTGACAGAAGCGTGCGGTCACCAGCTTATTGGTATTCGCTGCGGCCAACCAAATGAAAGGAGAGATGAAATGTTAGCTATGCAAAGGACTTTCACAATATCCAATGCAAAAATATGAGCTACATAGATAGATCGAAGTGAATAGCTTAATACTCACGATCAGTTGCGACCACCTTTTGGCAATTCATGAGCGGATGCTTGTTGGCCCCATTATCGAAATAGGAGAACTTGTTCAACTCGAACAGCCAGGTGTCCAACGACTTCATTTTGTCCAATGTGCATTCCTACAATCCCAACCATTTTCAAGTGTTAATCATAAATATCTATAGTAAATATTTGTACATGCGCAACACGTATGAACAGTGGCTAATGATTAATCAGACGGTGCCAGTCCAGTTCCCCACCTAACGGGTTGCTAATTGTGCTCATAATTGCAATGCAGCTACCAGCTCTTATCTTATCGGTGTTGTTATCGTTATCGTTATCATTTGTAGTTACTGTTATTGTTGTTATTTTTATCGGAGGTGCAACGGCCTTGCCGTGCATCATGCATTGGCAGAATATAAGCATTCAGAAGTGCAGATACTATATGACTTGGCTAATACTATTTTATACAGTTAAAAATTACAGTGAATTACTGGGGTTTCCCCTCTTTGATGAACCATTGACTAACTTAAATACATATATGCAGTGGAATGCAAATAATTCGAATGGGATTAGCATATTTTGCGACTGATAGATAGATTTAACTCTTGATTTGTAAGTGAATGGAATGAAATTTGCTCAAATATATTGGAAAATACTACTCAAATTATAATTGTTTCACGAATATAAAAGTTGTTTTGCTTAAATGTAGAACAAGACTGACTGACTGTCTATTATACTTTAAAAAGCTTAATCAGTAAACTGAAGTCTGAAAATTCAGTTGCCTCCTACTCCATGCCTAGATCCTTGGCTATAGATTAAGCTATAAATATTCACTTAGTAATGCCAAATGCATTTCCAAGTCAGACTGCCAGGCATGGTTGAAATATAAATGAAATGAAAAACGCATTTATAGAGTTGTCCCCCAAGACGGTAGGGACTCATGCCTTTGGAAGGATGCCAGCACATTCCTTCAACGGTCACAACAATGACGACAACGGTGCACGTTTCCGTTTCCGTTTTTCCGATTTTACCACTCTCTAATTTTTGCTTTGCTTTTTTTTTCGTATTTTTTTTTTTTATTTATTTATTGTTTTTTTTTTTTTTTTTGAGAATATATGTACAGACAGCTTTTAATTTAGTACGAGCTGCACTTTGATTAAGGTCAACGGTGTCTGATTAGGTGAGTGGCATTAACCGGGCAAAGGTTAAAGGCATGCCCGATGCTAATTGGTAGACTCGAGGCGTCTATCAACTTACCTCCGCCACAATGCTCGAGTTGGACTTCAGATCCGCACAACTGGGATTGTCGCTTGAGTCGCACACAAAGCATTTTATGGCCGCGCCTGTGGGTTAGGCAACAAAATATTTTCTGATTTTAAAAATAATTTCGAAAACTTAAATATATATATTTTTTAATTTTATTATATACTAATAATAATATTTACTGAATGGTGTGTTGCTACCTTTTAAGCAACTTAATCAAAACAGAAATGAAGTAGATATATTTCTAAACTCTATAGAAGAATTCAGAATACATAGCCTATGCGACGAAAGAGCTATTTATATAAAGTATAACTCTCACAAATAAAGCTGAAGGCGATATTTGATTTATTTAAGGTCTCGACATGAGAGATTTTAATGTCTTAAGAGTAACGGCCCCTTAGTCTTCTCCCATTTCAGATACAAGCACAACTTGCATATCTTTAGGCTGCGGTAGAAAACTTATTTTTATATAGTTTATACAAAATTTGTGTATTTCACATCAATTTATTATAATTTTGTTACTAGAAACGAAAAGCTTTTAGCAAAAATTTAGTTTTAGTAAATTATTTTAATCTAATTTCAAATAGTTTTCATGCTGCACTAACAAAGAGATGAAACAATAACTGAAAGAGCAAATCGATTGGGTGAAAGCCTAATTTTATTTTGTAATTTGCAAAAATAAATTGTAACTAGCTCCAAAATAATAACAACTTAAGTTATTTGCTTGAATATGACGGATCCTCATCCAATCCGGATCAGGCATAAGAAATCACTATTTATATCTCTATGCATACTTTGTGGGATTTGGCATGTAGCTGGGAATACGTGTCTTTATACTTTTCAAATTAGTATTAAAGTTGTGGGACACGCCCAATGGATGCAGCTCAAGTCGAATATGGTGCTCGGTATTTCTGATTGTAAGCCTGTAGAGGCTTTATGGCATTAGAAATATTAATTTGCAGATATAATTAATAAATATTAGTTTATGTGTGCAGAGATCAGATATAGTCAGTTCTTTAGTCACTTTTACAGAATTGACCTAATTTGTAGAGCAGAGCATTTTGCAGTCGATAATAGACGATATACTTTTATTGGAGTTGAATAATGCTCTTATTTGCACTGTTAACAGAGTTTCTATATTTTCAGCTATTCAAATCCACACACACACACACGCACGCACACATTTACACACCTTGTGATATGCAGCATAGAATGGGCAATAACAACAAAATAGCTGACGACCTAATCGGGCGATGGCACATTTTCGCGCAGCACTTTTCTTCCGCTTTTCACCAGCTCAACAAATTGCACACAACACAATTTTCTGAAGCTTTACTTTTGCTTTTTGAGACAAATTCTCGATTTTATTTAATTTATTTTATATTATTCCTTTTTATATATATTTTTTTCCGCACTTATTTTGAGAGACGCGTTGAGCAGAGTTCCTCTGGCGCTAGCGTTGGCCAATCGCAAACTGTTCGAGGAATTTTGAATTGTGGCTGTTGCTGGCGTTGGCTCCAAAGGACAAAACGGAGACGTCATCGGCAAAATACACGAGCCCCCAAGCCGAAGTCACAGCGACACACGAACATTGAGGCATGCGGGGTGCGGCGCGGCTTGAACCAGTGTTGACAACATTGCACAGATTTCCCTCTAAAATTTAGCGATTTACATTAGATTAGATCGCTTGTTAATAAATATGTACATAAGTGGTTTAAAAAAAAAAACATTAATTATCATATCAAATGTAATAATTATTATATAAGCCGAAACATTTTTTTGTTTCTAATTTACTAAGCTTTTATCGAAATTTTGAATATTTCAAAACCAGTTCAGTTTCCATAAAATTGAAGAAAATGTTCAAGAGACTATAGAAAAATTTTATTAAGAAATTTTATTTCAAGCAAAATTTATTTAACAATTATCTTGAGCACAGCGCTCAGTGCTGGTGCTTTTGCATGCGGCTGTATGTGTGAGTATGTATGTTTGGGTGACATCACCTAGTCGCCCACTTCTGAATATCCTGATTATTTTACTATGACCTTTATTTTTAGCTCTTTTTTCTTAGCCAGAAACTCGCTACATTATGCTGGTTGCTCTGATTTGGACTATGTGCCTCTTGCGGTTCTCCAACTCCATTGTCCTTGTACGCTGCGTGGGTGCGTCGGCCCGCAGCGCTCGAGTGGCTCTGACAGTAATAACCTCTTGGCTCCCACATGGCTGCGAGCCACAAAGAAGGTTATTCAAATTCCATAAAACGTACCCACATGCAGCCTCTAAGTCGCCCCCTTCCTCGCGCTTCAAAAACTGTTGCAGTACATATACTTTTTGCATACATGTCTCTCTATCGGTGCTTAGGACTTATCAATCCAGCCACCTCTATAAAATGATGTATGCATAGAAGAGCTTAAAGGACAGGCACAGAAGCCGCAATTAGTTGGCGCCCCAGAGCGAAAACTCATCCGGTTCGTGGAGTCGTTTCGCCCGTTCCGCTTCTCAGCCTCGATGTTAGCCTTGGCGTGGGCGTTTATTTATCGCATTCAACATCCTTTCTGAGTCCTCAGACAGTGCAACTGGCAAGCATTTCAAATTTATTATAAACAATGTAGCCCCTGATTGGTGTAGGTCACGGCCCTGAGCCACTAGAAAATATTTAGCATAACGACTTATAATATGAAATATTTAATAATTTATTTAATACTGTTTCGCATTTCAAATACTTTTTAAGTCTAACTTCTCATTTTGCTTTATCTATATATACATATATATAAATATTTTTATTTTTTTCAGGTATGCCGATTAGAGAATTCGGGAATACTCATTTCCAGACCAAAATCTTTATTTTATTATTATATCTATCTTGAATACATACATTACATTTTAGAAGATCAACAAAATCGAAATATCCTTCTTCGAGAGAGTATCAAATAAATTTTAGCGCCAAGTGTTAGCTAATGGGGTCCTTTGTTTTCAATGTGTAAAGAAAGAGCATGAAGCTTGGAAGAGCTTGGAGAACTATTTGTTGGAAGATCTGCTTGACCTCGTAGAAATACCATCAGCCGGTCTTTAAAAGTCTTTTAATGAAAGAAAACGCAATTTTTACGGGAAAATTCTAAAGTAGAATCAATGCTAATATCAATTGAACATATACTTAAATTAGAATTTTTAAATTAAAAAGCTTACATTCAAATTGAAACCTATATATAAATAACTCTGAGCTCTTAGTTATGTGGAGGGCGAAAAATCTGGAAGAGCAATTCTGCAAACGATATGCGAACGGAGGCCAACATTAAATAAAAGCTCGCCAAATTTGGCGTCTGTTGCGTGACAAGGTCGCATGTTGAACTGAAATGGACGCGATTGCGTCCAGTTGCAAATCGTCGGTGACGTCGACGTTGATGTCATAATTTCTTTTTTTTTTCCCCCTCTTTGCTCTGTCTTTTATTTTTATTTTATATTTTTTTTACGTTGCATGCTTTTTGGGCACATAATTAAACATGTTTTCGCACGTTTCCCACTCCGTACCCATTTCTCTTTCCGTTTTGTCCAAAGGTCAGCCAAACCCCTGGCCATAAATTATGTTTTCGATTTTTACAACTTGACATTTTTACGCACATAACACGGCCAGCATTGCCTCACCTCATTTCCTTCTAGTTCCACCCATTGATCAGTGAAAATATAGCACAGCAATGCCGGAACGCTGCGAGCACGCAACTGAAAAGTTCAAATTCTTATCTCAAGCACTGTTATATGATGTTTTTTACACCGTGAACCCATTGAAAATGGGAAATCAGGGTATAAAGATTTTATGAAACGTATGTATCAGGCAGAAGGAATCATCGCAGACCCCACAAAGTATATATATTCTTGATCAGGGCGACGAGATGAGTGGATATAGCCCTCTACGTCAATCCGTCCGTCCGTCTGTTCGAGATCTCAGATATAAGAGTTATAGACTTGCAATTCTGCATGCATACTCGTGAATACCATACACAGCATCATATTTTTTTCGATAGCTCATCCGATTTCTTTTTAACGAGAATAATCGGCAAATTTATTCCGCTTATCTGCCTAGTTTGACTACTATTAGACCTAGAGACTTCAGATTCACTGCGTATACAAATTTAATGAATACACAAATTTTGTAATTTACAGATTTAGAATATTATTCGAGCCCAAATTGTAAAAATTGGAATATACGAACATTCAAACAATGTGAACACGTTGTAACCGTTTCTTGAAGAAACAAATTCTCATCGTATTGCCCACACTGCAGCACAGCCCAAGCGCAGTCGCTTATAAGTGCGTGTGGATGTATGTGTGCACGTGTTTTTTTTTATGTGTGCAGAAAAGAAGTGCTGAATGATAAGAATATCAACTTGCAGGGTTTAGGGTATCTTCTTGTCGAGCAGTCTCGACTAATGCACTCTTACTTGTTCCATACTCTATCAGTCTTTCTGTTTCTCTCTCTCTCTAACAAAACAGACTGTAACTGTAACAGAAAAAAATTAAATTAAATATTAAAATATTAATTCGTTAAATCGACTTACATGCATGAAGATTTGTATAGTATGGAAAAATTTGTTTTCGATTCTCCAGATCAGTAAACTCACTAACCATATGGTGTGTTGTATAGTTAATAGTAGTGACACTCCAATATGATCATCGATGTGACCACTGACCAGAGAACACAGTAAATATGGTCAGTGATGTGACTACACTGTATATATCGATACAATACACTACACTGTTGCAATACGATAGTTATCGACTATTCTGATTGGCAATACAGCTTTTATACTGACCCCTTATTACGCTTATCTCCAGTTTGCTGATTATTTTTTTGACTCACAGCTCTTGCCAATTATTAGTTGATTAAAGTCGTTTTCTGGTAAGCAGTAAAAGCATGGCTGCAATAATAAATCCTAAGTATATAATAGGCAAGAAAGAGGTAAAAGCTCTACAGTTAATAATTATATAAATATATATATGCATATGCCGTTTTATTCATTGTAGCTACTAGGCGAGGGAAGCTATGGGAAGGTGTACACTGTGGAATTGAAAGTGGCCATAAAGGAATTAAAATCTTCAGAGGCAGAGAAAATTAAATCATTTGAAGCGGAGGCCACGAACTTACTTCGCGCTCAACATCCGAATATTATAAGATTATACGGCATTTCAGGAAAACACACACTGGTCATGGAATATGCAGATAATACTCTCGATAAGTACATACATAACGAGGAAAACAAAATTACAGAGCTACATCGTCAAAATCTAATGCTTCAGTGCGCCGAGGTTTGTGCTCTTCAGTTATTAATGATTAGATAACCAAAGTTTTTTATAACAGGGAGTCGCTTATCTTCACAGTCTGACACCGTTGACACTTCACCGCGACCTGAAACCCGCAAATATTTTACTTACAAATGATAACTGTACGCTAAAGATTTGTGATTTCGGAACGGCACGAGAAATACGTACAGAAATGACAGCCGAAAAAGGAACTGCCGTATATAGGGCACCAGAAGTATGTATATCGATTTTTAAATGGAATTTGAATTTTTTGCACGTTCATACAAAAACACAAGCGATTATTCCTAGTTATCCGTGTCTCTCTGCGATTAGGTATAAACGGTCTGATCATTGATCATTTCAAAATTGTTTACATTTAATATTTATGCATTTTTCTGTTTCGGTCTATTATAACTATACAGATCAACGAAACCATGAAATACACTGAAAAATGCGATGTCTATAGCTTTGCCCTTATACTCTGGGAAGTAATGTCTGGGAAAAAACCCTTTGCTGACCAAATCAAAGAAGTTATAGCGATTGCATACCAAACGTCTGTTAAAAATCTTCGACCAAATTTGGACGATGTGCAATTTTGTGTGAATAAAGAAATTATGAAAGATCTGATTGAACAAGGCTGGGATAAAAAGCCATATATGCGTCCGTCAATGAAAATGCCTTATTACTTAGCCTTGATCATTCCTCGATGAAATACCTAGTAAAACCTTCTAGCGAGGATTACAAAGATGCTACAAAATCAAATTAAATTTACTGGTACTTATATACGACCGGGATTATGGATACTCTGATTGAGCAGTTCAAGACTCAAATAAGCGGCAGTCAATGGAAATACAGTGGAGTCCGCTTATAAGATGCTCAAGGGGCTGACGATTTTACATTTTTATACCCGGAGTATGCTTAAACCGGACGGAGCAAAAAAATTTCATATGTTTTAAAATAAAATAAATTTTTTATTAACACAAAAGAATTGCAAAAGTTAATTTAATAATATGGAAAGTCGATATTGCCCTTCATCTCTCTATCTCTCTCTCATCTGTCACTGTCACGCGCACAAGTAAACGTATTGAATTTATATATATATATACAGTCTAAAGTCAAAGAATGTTGTGTTACCTTTTAGCTGAACTAATTTAAGCTTTGATGAACGTAATACAATAATACAACACAATATTAATATA